AAGTGGGGATATGAATCTTATTTTGAAACTTTTATAATCATTGATTTACACAAAACAAAAGCTTTAAAAGGAGAGATGGGGGCTAGGTTGGAGTGCAGTAGTAGAGTTTCTGACAAAAACAAGAGAATATGTTAGACAATGGGAAGTGAGTTTAGAGATGAATACAGGAGTATTCACTTAGCCCAGACTGACAGAACTCACAGAAATCTGCCTGCCTCTGCCTCATGAGTGCTGGGATTAAGTGTACCATCACACCTGGCTTCCTATAAATTCTTTATTCATAACCCAGTGTCTAGTCTGAAAAAAGTTCCATGGGTAGGAAATTATACTCAACCAACCAAAGCTGTCCTGGCACTCACTCCGTAGACCAGGCTGGCCTCAAACTCAGAGATCTGGCTGCCTCTGCCCCTAAGTGCTGGGATTAAAGGCATGCACCACTACCATCTGGCTAGGGGAGTAAGTTCTTAAATTACTTTTTCTTAGCCACAATGCCTCACCTGTTCCTCACTTTTCACAAACCCCAAAACAATCTTAGATGGCACATACCCTAAAGCATATAAAACTAAGTGGGTTTTGTAGTCAGAATAACTGTAATAATAAACACTGACAGCACTAAAAACTGAGCTGGGCCTGACAACTCACATCTGTAATCCCAGCATGTTTGAGGCTAGCCCTAACTACAGTGGAGGCTCTGCCTCCAACAAACCAAAACCAATAAGTGAACTAAAAACTGACTTCAGTATTTCAATCGTCAATCAGGAGAAACTGGGGAAAATAAAGTTCTTTTCCTAACAAACTGGCAACAACACGCCAAGCTTCCCAGTGTAAATAAAAGAGGAAAAAGAGCTGGAAGGGAGGAAGCCAAAGAACTCAACACAAGGCTAGCACTCTCAGAAGCCCCGCTAGAGATAGACGATCCCTTCTCACTTTGGCCAACGACCTGTCACTCTGTTTCAGTCATCAGCTGATGGTCACAATATTTTGTTGTTTGAGACAGGGTCTCAATGTGCACTGGTTGTCCTGGAACTGGCTATGTAGACCAGGCTGGCTTCAACTCACAGAGATCTGCCGCTCTGTCTCCAGGGTGCAGGGACTAAGGGTGTATATCCACCAAACTCAGCTAGCTGGTGCCCAGAAAGCAAGCTACAATCCTTAAATCAGATCTTCAGGACCTAAGGTAAAAGCGGAGGAGATGGTGATGGCTAGGCAGGTAAAAATGCACACTGCTCTTGCATAGGCCTTAGGGGAGTTCCCAGCACCCACTACTAGCAGCTCACAATTCCTCTAACTCCAGCCCAAATGTACCTGATGCCTCTGACTTCCAAAAGAACCTACACACATGCACATACTAACACATAATTACAAAAATAATAAAGATAAACCTCTAAGTTTTTTTAAGATACAGCAGAACTTGCAAGTGCTTATTTGACTCTAAAGACTGTATCCTGCATTCAATGCCTCCAAGTGTACTAAACCCTAAAAACTCAGCCCCAGACCAATAAAAAAAACATACAGTCCACCCACGGTTCTCATCTACACATAAGCATCATGGGATCATGGAGAAGGGGGCTAGGCTAGGGGATAAAAATCTAAGTTTACAACGTCTTTTCAGGCATTGCTTGAGGCATGTGGTAGACATGGAAATAAATGGGAGTTTGTTTGAGGGATGCCAAAAGAAACAAGATTCCACAAGTCAGGACACCAAATGCCCAACACGGGGCAAAGGGCACGCACCTCCTTGCTTTTCACCCAAATCCCGATTAGTTGCTTCACCTGGGAGCCTTTCAAAGGCAGTCTAATGGTCTCCAGTTCCTCCCTCACCCCAAGTGAACTCAGCAATCCCTACCTGGAGACCAGGGCAAAGTCTTATCAGAAACAACAAGTGTCGCTGTCAGAGCCAAGAAACACGTCGCTACCATACGAAAGTCCTCTGCCCCGCTTCAGTCTGTACAAACCAACAAGCCAAAACACTCGGTCCCCAGCCTAAGTTACCGTCCTCCATTTTTCCAGTGGCTTGGTCAAAGAAGCCGGTCTTCCCTCTACTCCGGGCGCTCAGCGGGCTTGTCAAAGTTCCCAAGGCCAGCCAACCCCAGCTAGGTTCCCGCCCCCAAGCTCGGCTCCTTTCCACCACTTTCGGAACTTTGCCTAGGTCTTGCCCCAGGTCTGACACTCAGGTCCTCCATGAGATCTCCGGTCTCCCTGGCACGACTCCACTTTTCTCAACGCACTTAGCTGACGGTCACTTGCGTGTGCTCCCCCCGCCCCGAAAAAGTTGTTTTCCCCTTATCTCTCCCCAGACGGACACCACACGACCCGAGATCTCTTCCGTGCCGAGGCCAGGTTCGACCTCTGCACCTAACACACTCCCTCGAGTTCCCTCACGGTCCTGTCATCCCCAGTTCTCAACACCTATGTAAAAGGAAAATACTCCACAATGCTCGCTTCCTGTGCTTTTCACTCCCAGACCACGCGCTTTTCGTCCCAGGTCCACCGACTTGGCTTCGATCCCATCTCTTCTCCCCTCGCCCCACGTCCGTCGGGCCCGGACTCCCCTGCCACCTCCCGGCCTGGGCCCTGCCCTGCCCTGTCCCGCCAGCGGGCTCGGGTGTTCCTTCCCTCGGGGCTGGCTCCGCGTGGGGCCGGCTCACCAGTTGGTCATGTCCAGGAAGAAGGCGCAGCCGGCCGGGTTAAGCTGGAAGCCGAGGAGTCGCTGGAACTCGGAGATGAGCACGTCCTTGTCGGTGGTGCCCAGGCAGCTGAACTTTTGCATGAGCTCGGGGTCCAGGTCCACGTCCATGCCCTCCATGGCGGGGGGGGGGGGGGGGGGGGGGGG